AAAGATTTATCTGTGATGAGGTAGAAAGCCATCTGCACTAGTACCACTGTCATGCAGACTTGCCTGTGTGTCCTAATGAGGCTGCACCTTTGGAAAACAAATGCATACTTAATTGTACCTTACAACAGGCCATCAGCAGCGGGGATGAACCCAGAGGGGCTGGCTGCAGTTAGCTGCACCACCAGAGTTTTATTCGGCTTTGGGAATGGGCTGTTCTCAAGGGCTCTGCCAGGTTTTCAGACCAGATCTCCTGTAAATATCTTTAACTGTTTCAGTGACCTGCCGTTGGTAGGTCTTATCTCTGCCTGTCCTGTATTACTGCCACACAGCCCCTCTGCAAGAGATGGATACCTGCCTTACAGAGGATGGGGCTGCTCTGAAATGGCCTCGGGAGGAGCAGCCTGGGGGAGGCTTTCCTGCCATGGCTGACCTCTGGTAGTGGCGGGGTAGACGTTTCCCCCTCCTCACACAGTGCAGAGGTGCTTGATGTTGGCACAGAGGATCAAGAGGCAGGCTTGGGCTATCACATGCGTAACCTTCACAGAGGTTACCAAATGCAACCTTTACTAAAAAGCTCTTCTCAAACTTGCAGACTGATGCTTTTAAAATTAGGTGGAACCAGGGTGGCTCTTGAGCTGCTGACATGTCACAAGAGCTTTGTTAGCCAGAGGGCTTCTGAGCAATACAGATCTTCCCTGCAATGGCTGAGCCACCACCCACACTGTGGTGTGTCCCTGCTGCTATTGTCATCTCTTATCTGTGAACCACATCCCAGAGACCCCCTGTCCTTGGCTCTCCCAGTTTGTTGGCCCTTGGCCACATACAGGTTTCAGGGCGTGGCTTACTGACTCTGGAAGGTTTTTTGATCTCCTGTGAAGGTGTTTGGACTCTGAGGGAGGGCATCCAAGGGTTGAAGGAATTGCTTCTAAGGGTTTTTTGTTGTGGTGGGGGTTTTTTTGTCTTCTTTCCACATGTGTTTTGTAATATTTTCCAAATGTAAATAATTTTAGGTGTCCAGTCTTGGGACAGAAGTGTGTATATATGCAGATCTCAGAGCCATGTGTTCTCACTCAGCTCTGACCCATCTGTGACAGGCACAGGACAGATGTGCTACTTCCTACTGCAGATTTTTGTTTGTTTTGGCAAGAAAAGGGCTCCCTGCCCACACTGTCCCCTCTCTGCCATCACTTGTTCCCTCCGCAGGGGATGCGAGCCGGGAAGCCTACCTTCCACCTTGGAGACGAACCCAAGGCTGCGTTTGAGGTCGGAGCAGATGGAGTGGAGGCACCAGCGGAACTTGGCATCGCAGCGGTATTTGTTGGCTCCGCAGGTGTCGTAACAAATGTCCAGCTGGTTACAGCACTTGGTCATGGCAGGGATGCCCAAATCTAGCTGGGGGAGGAGAGAAAAGAAGTGTCCCTTGGCTGCTTCCTGGCCTCAGATTCAAACAGCTGAAACTGGGTGAGGTTTTGCAGAGCCCAGCTAGCTTCTTTTCCAGAAGTTACCCCAATAGCTGGGGCAGCAGGAGGGAAAACATGCTTCTCCTTCACCATGAGAAGAAAGCAGTAACAGTAATGCAGGTCCAGTGCAGGATAGACCACATTCCCTTCTCTCCTGTCTGTCATTTCTGGGGATTAACTTCTGGTAGAGAGGTGGGGAACAACCCCTCCATGACCATTTGCTAGTTCTCATTTGTCAGAGCTCACCAGAGAGCTTCCTGTCCTTGTTAGCAGTGGCAAAGGTCCCTTTTCTCTTTCCTCATTTTCCCACAACCTGACAAGTCCTGCTTCTTGGCCTAATAAATCTGCTGTAAGTGTTATTAATGCTTTGTTTCTCACAGATGCGCTTGTAAGGCCAAGGATAAATACAGCTCGGTCAGGGGAATTCTGCTCGCTTGGAGGTAAACAGCAAGCTTAACTAATAACCATGGGGGTGATGGGGCAGTAGGCCTCTCTCCTGGAGAGACTGGACTCATTAGCTTGTTATAAATTCTTCCCCTTTTTGGCCTTCCTCATGTAATATTTAGGAGATGAGTTTTTTCTTGGTTGCGCTCAGCACTTATGACTGCCTGCATAAGGAGGAGGTACCGCAGAAATGCCCACAAGGTTTGCAGTGAAATGTAGTTTAAGGAACTAATCTAACATGAAAAATGGGCTGTAAAGGGAGGGTTTTTCAGAGCAGGAATCTGCCTAATTGCTGCAGATTTCATGGCAGCAGTAATGCGTGAGCTAAATAGTAATTCCTGCTCTTAGAGCCTCCTGGGAGTGCTTTTCCTGGTGATTTCAATATGATTTCATTAATTGCCTTTAAAATAACAAGTGGGTGCAGTATTAAAGCCCACAGTTTTATTTCAGTGCTTGGTAGAGGCAAAAGGCATGGGAGGGAACGAAGGGCCAGATTCAAGTATTGCTGTTTGCACATTATGCTATGTCACTGAGCTGCCCAGCATTGAACGTGCTCCCTGTCCTATCACAAGGGCGTGGGATTGATCAGGACCTTGATAAAAATGTGTTTCTCCACACTAGTGCTCTGCTTGGCCAGGTACCCCCTTTTCTTCGTCTAGTGCTAACCTGCTCAGGAAACTTTCTCTTTTGGTACCTACCAAGACAACCAGAGCAACAGGCCAGTCCTTCATAAATGTAACTCCTGTCTACGTGATTCCTGTTTCACTGCCACCAGCAGTTGAGATCTTAATGCCCCCCTGACTGACAGTAAGTTAGGCAGTGCTCAGACTGACACGTTCGCCTTGCTTGCCGTCGGCAGGCAATCTTTTGGCAGTCCCAGGCAGATCGCTTGTCCCCTAACAGCACGTAAGTGTTATTTCCTCCCTTTTCCGGAGCTCTGGCTTCAGCTGTGAAGAGAAGCCATCACACAGTCGATGCATAGCACAGCTAAGCCTTTTCCCTCCCCAGTATTATTAGCTGGTTACTAAGATTAGAGAATTGCATCATTTGGGAATGGTGGGTGTGGCAGTACATACACTTTCGGGTACCTTGAGCCCCAGAAAATAGGAGCTACAGCCGTTGGGTTCTTGGGGTTTGTAGTGAGGTCGTGGCATTGGAGCCTTCCCTGAGAAAGAAAGGAAAAATGTTAGGAAAGCTGATCTTCCCAAGAGTAGCACCAAAAAGCAAGGAGTGTCAGGCAGCTCCCCTCCGGTCTGCATTCCCAAACACTTCATTCTCCTTCAGAAGATGCAGGGAGTGAAGGATAGGTAGTAGAGCTGGCTGAGACACTGACCCTGCTCTCAGATCAGTTCTGTTGAGGCTCTAGAGCCTGACTTAGCTCATACATCCTCTGGCATGGCCACTGGAGCACTGTGTTGTGTGTGAACGGGGTCCCCAGCACTTTTCAAATGTTTAAACTGGTCTGAGTCCAGTCCCTAGGTCTGGGACTCTCCCCAAGCTCTTACAAATGAGCAAGTCCCTCTTTGCAGCATGGGGTTTTGCAGTTGAGCAGCCCTCTGTGCTAGAGCTAGTGCCTCAGACCTCCCAAATCTCCTAGGAGCTTTTTCACGTGCTTCCCGAGAGCTCTGCGCAACTGGGATCACCCAGATGTGTTTTTAACTCCTCCAAGAAACTACTAGCTAAACTACTAGCTTAGCAAGGGGATTCCTTTCCATCATCAGTTCACTCTCAGAGCGTCAGTGAGCTGTGGATCTCTGCAAAATAGTGCTAGACCTTGCATGTCTGATCTTGCTCTGAGTAGGAGGTTGTCTTGGTCCATCTTCTGCATGTGGTAATGCACTGCCACGTTTTGCAAATAGTTGCTATCCCTTTATCTCTGCCTTCCCTTATTATGCACCTTAATATGCATAGAAGAGCAAGAATTTCCACTGTGAATGATTATTTACCCAATGTAGAAAGAGTCAGCCAGCTAACAGAAGCTTTAGCAGCAATTTAATCTGTTTTACTTTGGTTTGAAGGTGTGCAAGCCCTCCTGTCTGCCTGCCAGCCCATCCTGGGGCTTTGCGTATGGCTGACAGAGTGCTCTGGGTGTGAGGGGTGGGCGCCCAGGGTTGGGGAGGAAACTGTCCATGTGGAAAGGAGATCTGTCCAGAGAAGGGCAACGAAGCTGGTGAAGGGTTTAGAGAACAAGTCTGATGAGGAGCGGCTGAGGGAACTGGGGCTGTTTAGCCTGGAGAAGAGGAGGCTGAGGGGAGACCTCATCGCGCTCTACAACTCCCTGAAAGGAGGTTGTAGCGAGGTGGGGGTTGGTCTCTTCTCCCAAGTAACCAGCGATAGGACGAGAGGAAATGGCCTCAAGTTGCGCCAGGGGAGGTTTAGACTGGACATCAGGAAAAACTTCTTTACTGAAAGAGTGGTCAGGCCTTGGAACAGGCTGCCCAGGGAAGTGGTTGAGTCACCATCCCTGGAAGTATTTAAAAGACGTGTAAATGAGGCGCTTAGGGACATGGTTTAGTGGGCATGGTGGTGTTGGGTTAACGGTTGGACTTGATGATCTTAGAGGTCTTTTCCAATCTTAATGATTCTATGATTCTATTCCCCACCCTGTCTCATCCTCTTTCTCAACCCCCATCTCCATCTAACCTAACACCTCCTGTTTGGGGAGGACGAGTAGCCAGGCTGCTTCTGTGCTTTGACCCTGCTGTGCAAGGAGCTTGTTTAAAGGTGGGAGAGGATTGTGCCTTGGAGAAGTCGTGGAGACCACCCCTCACAGAGTTGGGTTTCTCTGTGTTGTCCCTTGATGTGCGTTCAGTGCTTGGTCTGTTTCTGTCCCAGCCGGGTTTATAAAAGGGACATCTCAAATGCAGAGTGAGGTGTTAAAACAAGACATTTGAACCCTGCTCTGGGAAAACTTTGTAAGCTGTGTGAATCCTCCAACAGAAACGTGTGTGAGTTGAGCTTTCTGTAAGTCCACCACCTCTAGGGTTAAGTTTCTGCTCCCCTGAGCACCGCTAGAGAATTTATATAGACATAAAATAAATCTAATTTAGCCCTTCAGGCAGGGTTGGGTTCTTTTAAACTCGATTCCCACTGTTATCTTCTTGTCAGCACTGATAATCATTTAAGACGCTTTTCCCCTTTTTTTCTGTCAAGGTACCTAAAGTACCAGTGGTGAACATAGCCATAAATCTACTGTGTTCTTGAGAAGACCTCACAGCCAAACGCCTCAAAAGGTCTTACATAGGAACGTTCCCAGCACCTTCTAAATTAAAAATTGCCAGAGCGGTTTTGTTTAAACAACAGATTTGCAACAAATAAACAACAAACTGAAATCCTGTCCAGCTGTGAGACGCCAATAGCCAATTTTCTCCAGTCCTACAGAAATGCAGTATGCACCAAGGATTTAGCTGTCTGCAGGCCAAGATAAAGCTCTCTAGCTGACATTACCACCGGGTGATGGCATTTGTGTGGGAAGGTATTTCTCAGTACAGCAGTTACTACTGTGTTTCTACCTTTTTGGCCCCTTTTGAATAGGTCAGATCTGCTTCATGCTCCAGATGTAATTTTCTAGTGCAGAAAGCATTGTCATTTTGAGCAGGCAGAGCTGAGTTAACAGTAGACAAAGAGCACGAAACAGTTGGCTGCAGCCCACCAGCTTCGCACCAAAACATAACTTAAGTCCATTGAGGTATGCTGACACAAGGTAGTTTCTGAGTTCATGACACATTGCACGTTACGCTATTTTGGTGGTTATGCTATAGAGAGAAGGAATTATGTCTCTGTATGGGCTGAATCTATAACCCAAGGCTCCCCAGCAATATAATGAGAGGAGGGCTGCACCCAGGTCTCGGTGCAATTCACAGCCTAGTTGCTCTTTTGGAAGGGGGTGAGAATTGGGACTCAGAATTCAAATGTTCCTGAACTGAGGTAGGAGGCAGAGGAAAGTTCAAAATCCAAGGTGGATTTTGCTGGATGGGGTCAAATTTTAATGACTTGTTTGTAATACTGACGATAAGTTATGTTCCTGCAGCACATTGTCAATTAATGGGATAAGGTGGCAAGTCAGCGTAGGAGTGAGACTGTCTGGGGATATGGAGATAATTGAGTTTCCAGAGAAAACCTTCCATTAAGCTGAAGTTACAGCTATTATAATGTCTTAGAAAGTTGTTCTGAGAAAAAAAAAATCTCACACGAGAATTGTGGTGATCAACAAAACGTTGAACTGCCTTCAAGATACGCTCTTGTAGGAAACCTGCCCCCCTCCTCTCTGAAAAACAAAGCTTAATCATTTGTAAAGCGCACCTTTGTGAACCCTTTCTCAGCTAGATAAAGTCCAAGACACCACAGTTAACCTCTCTCCCACATCTTGTTTTCTAGCTAACAGGAAAACAAAAGCAAAGCAGAAATAATAGGTGTTCCCGACTCTACATGAGCATCCACTCTGTGCTCTTGTTATCATTTATTGCTTGCCCATCCTTATAGGCATGTCTGTGATGGGGCTTCGCTAGCTGTGTTTCACCAGGGGCCCGTTGTGGTCTGCCTGCTTGCTGCAGGGCATCGCTGGGGAGAGAGACCAGAAGACAGCTGCAAGCACAGCAGGACCTGCCCAGCAGCAGGCTGAAAGGCAATGCTGATGCGTAGAAGCACAGCATTGCTGAGGAAGCCTGTTCTTTGGAAGGAGATATACTTCAGGGTACTGCCTTGTTGGCACGGCCTTAGATGAGAACTGAAGTTGAGTTTCTAATGGGAAGCGAGTTTCCCTGACGCATTTTAATATCTCCAGGCTGCTGTAGCTATGCCAAGAGACTGGAAAGCAGCCAGCTGGCTAGAACAGCTGCTGGCGATGCAGGAGGTCTCAGACACTGCGGTACTGGTACACTGGTGGAGGGAAGCGAATGTATTTCTGGGTGAATAGATGGTCTTGGGACTCCATTGTTATTTCTCTGCCCCAGGCAAGCAGGCTTTGGGCAGACGTTGTCCATACTTACTCCAGCCTTTTAGCACTGTGTTGGAGAGACTGACTTTTAAGGCTCTATTCCCACAGCCTGGACATGCCTCCTCATCTTAAGGCCCTCAGGACCAAATGCTAGGCAAAACATTGAAGTCCTGCCTGGCCAGACAGCTGAAGGAAGCTATCAAGGGATGTACTCCCAGTTCAGGCTGTTCCCCGCCTTGAGATGCCCAGAGAGATTTTGTAAGGAGGAGGAGATATTTGCCAGCAAATGCTAGTGTAACCCTAATGTCCTGATTGGAGTAATCCATCAAGTTGTTTGTTTTCAGACCTCACTAGCTGCTGAAAAATCAGGAGGAGAGTCTTACAGCCAGAACAGCCAAGTGCTTCGTGCTCAGCTGAAGGTGGATGTGGCAATCACAGGTGAGTCCTGACCTTTGTTGTGGCAAAATAAGCTATTATCAGTGTCTCTTGGCTGAAATGAAAGAAAGTAGAAGGCATGATTTTTGCTTCATGCCTGGGGAAAAAGCGATCAGGCCCTGATTCAGCAGCAAGATGGTAAAGATGGTTTGTGTTCATTCTTCTGGGCACAGACACCTGGTCTCACTGGTTTAGGATTGTCCCTGCATCGCCTCCACTTGCAGTTTGCAATATCTGTGCTAGAGACCAGCACAGGCAGATGGTCCAGCAAGACCCTTGGAGGCACGCGGGCAGTGTTTCAATAGTTTCCTCCTTCAGCCGGTGATTAATGAGTTGTTCAGCAGAGGACGAGAACAGGGCTAACAATGTGCTTGTTTGTTTTCCTTTCTAGGTAAAGCATTTTTCCAGTAAGACGCGGGATGCTCTCAGGGAGCAGGCAGGCATTTGCACTGCTCTGCGGAGATGCTCTTCCCCTTGCCCAGAGTGCAGGGCCAGGGCAGCGGGGACAGGGGCAGGGAGAGCCCCAGCCTCAGGATGTGTCCGAGACCGACGACTTCTCCAGGACTTGGTGAGTCCTGAGACTCCCTGAAACGAGCTCTGAATATCAGCCTTCCCAAACCTTGCCTCAGGCACACTGCAGTACCAGCCACGTTATGCCCACTACCAGGGTTTTCAGTCCCTACATTAAGAAGGGCAAGTCCCTTTCTGCTCTGAATTTGGAGCATGGTCTGGACCTAAAGGGAGGTTGTCACACACGGCGTGGGGCTGCCACAGCGTGGGCCTGGGGACGGGCTGCCTGATGGGCAAATGGCCTCATCCTGTGTGCTGGGGCGATGCCGTGGTGTGCACGGGGGTTCTCCTCCTCCAGAGACGGCACCCCTGGGGCACACGCTGCCACCAATGGGCCCCACAAAGCACCCGTGGCTACAGAGAGGCAGCCCTGGCCGGGGAGTGCCATGGGGCCATGGGCTGAGGGACTAAAGCTGCAGGGCTGAGGGACTAGGGCCACTGTGGGGCTGAGGGGGTGGGCTGAGGTGCCTGGCTCCCTGCAGGTCCCTGGGGCTGAGGTGCCTGGCTTGCCGCTCCCTGTTTGCTGTTAGCGTAGGGCCTGGGGAGCAGAACTGGCTGGAATGGGAGGACAGATATATACGCATTATTTAAAAACAAAACAAAAAAAAACCAACGACTTTAAGGCTGATTTTAAACTCTCCTTGTAGCCCCACTTTGACTAAGGGTGGCCCATCTGCCCTCTTGCCTTGACAGGGAGCTCGGGTCCCAGCCCTGCAGCATCTGTTTCTCCCGGCACTCTCGCTGCCGGCCTGGGAAGGGCGGGAGGTGCTTCCCTCTGGCTGCATCTGTTGGGGAGCATTACAGACAACCCTGCGCAGGCTGGAGAGGCGCAGCGTGCAGCCCGTGTTCTGGCAGAAATGGGATGCATACAGACCGAAACTGAGTCGGTGGAATCTCTCCAAAGCATGGAATCTGTGTCTGTGCAAACCAATGCTCGGGGAAGGAGAGGGGTTGAAATCACCTCTGTGCTCACGAGCATCTTGCCCAGGCGGTCACTAGGGACATGGGATGAAGCTGGGGGGAAAAGGGCTGACGGGCAGTTGTGGGTGGGCAGGCTAAGGTGACAGAGGACAGTTATTGCTGCGGGGACAGTTGTAGGAGGCTGGGGAGAGGACACAGTCTGTAGGAAACCTCCTTGCTGTTCCCAAACAGGTTGTTTCATCAGGTACCCTGCTGATGGCTGGTGCTGCCTGTGCCTCCGCGTGCCCAGCGCCCCACAGACCTCCACCGTAGGGGCCTGCCCCCCTGCACCTCTGCGCGCCCAGTCCCCCGCCCTGCTTGTGCTCCTCCTGCCCTGCTCTCCCTGAGATGTCACCCCCTTCGTCCTGCCAGGACAAACCAAACTCTTCCTTTTTGGTAAACTGCTCTAAAGTCCAAGGCAAGCGGCAGCTGCCTCATTCCGCCTTGAGTACTAAAGGTTCCTCCATGGTGACAGCAGGTCTCGTTTACCTTCCTGTTACCTCCCCTCCTCCAGCCTACGTTATTAGCCAACTCGCAACCGCTGAATAATGACACTCCGAAGGTTGCTGAGATTAGGACCGCTGGCAATACTAACCACCCCTTCTGAGTCAGGTCTGCGTGGGCTGCTCGTCTTCCCCTCCGGGGCCTCGCTGTCCACCCTGGTCCTTCTCGCCAGGGGTCCAGGCAGCTGGGCAGCCTGGTTACCTATACGCCCTTCCTGTAAAACCCGTATCCTCTCCTCTTGTCCCCCCTTGCACACAGCACAGGGGCTTCAAGATCAAGCTGTTCTTGGTGTGAGGGAAAGATGAAGGTTCAGTGTCCCTGTGCTGGCACTAGCAGAGAAGTTGTGACTCTCCGCAGTGACTTCTCTGTGCCGAGCGTAGCAGGGGTCAGGTCACGGATAGGAGCTGGCTGTGGTCTCGGGGAAGGAGAGCGCGGTGAGTTTCCGCATGAGAGAGAAAGAGGGGAAAGGGCAAGGAGAGAGGAGCCAGCAGGAGTGAGGTTCACTTACCGTATCGACATCTGTACTGACAAACGCCATTTTTTCCCCCAAGCAGTTCCAAGAAGGAGTCGAAGTAGCTGTTAACTGTTTCGAAGCTGTCCCGGAGGGCCTCGATGCCCCATTCTGAATAGGATGAGACTGCTTGGGGAGCTTGGTGGACGGTGTCCTCCTGTGTTGTTTTCTCGGTGCATTGCCCTAAGCCCAGGGTCAGGCACAGAACCGCTGCCTCGAAAAGCAGCCGCATGCTGCAGTCCAGATCCAGGCCCCGGAGCCCTTGTCCAGGCAGATGTGCAGGCAGGGAGGAGTGGGAGCGAGCTGTTGTGCGTAGGACGCAGGTAAGCACCCCTCTCCCCTGGACTTTAAACGCTGCCGAGGGAGCCGGCATGAGGTCACCACAATCAGAGTGCAAAGTGCACCATGGAGATTTGGACCAAGTTCGTCTCGCAGAGAAACGCCGGGGTTTGAGTTTGCACAATCCCGCTGGAACAGGCTCAGCCCCTGCGGCACCAGGGCTTCAGCTTCCCCAAAAGGGACCGCTCCCTGGGGTGCTGAGCGGGGTCTGTCTGCCCAGATTGTGCCGCACACGTGGGCTGCCCCCCTCTCTCCCCAACCTGTTGGGAGATGAAGAGTATCTCTTTGTCCAAAATTTCTGCTGCTCTGGCAATAGGAGTAATAGATCAGCAGCAGACTGAGGAGCACCCCTCGCCTTTTTCCTAGGCCTCCTGGGCACGTACTGGGGTGGGACGAAACACCCACCCAGCCTAGCTGCTGTGGGGGATTGCTCCTGGCAAAACCTGTGGGACCGCAGGGCTGACACGCTTGTCGTGTGAAGGGGCTTTCCGTGCCTGCACGTCCAGAACAGGCTGCCTTGCAGGAGCACGCCCAGGACAGAAAAGGGTGGCAGAGAGCCCATGTCCTGCTCTGCTATGGCTAGAGGAGCACCCTCTGCACCTCGTAGGGGTTGATCCAGCAGCTAGGAGTAGTTCAAGCGTAGAACCGCTGCATTCGGGGCAATACCTTGGTACGTCCCCTCCCGTTATAGGATCAATGACGTAGATGAGTATTTGCCTTTGATGGGACTCCTGAAGGCTGATGTTAGATGGCTGCTTGTTACAGCTTTTGCGTAACGCCAGCGTTGCCGAATTAAGCATGTAGCATGGCTGGCCCAGAGCGAGGAAGAGCTGGCACTGAAACCCAAGTCAGGTAACGGGCTTGTGGGGGAGCTGCAGGTCCTGGCTCTGGGGCGGGACTGGCCTGCCAGGACCGGGGGGCCTGCACAGCTGGTGGAGGTTTCAAAGAAGTTACTCATTAAAAGAAAACAACCAAATGAACACCAACAGCAAAAGACAACTCAAATGACTGATAAAGAGTAGGGAAGGGAAACAGCACGGGAAGGCTCTCGAAAAGCTTTTTGGATGTGTCCCAGCACAGCACTGCCTCTCAGAAACAGCCGCTCTGCAGCTGATGGGCTGATCTCTGTGGATTCCAACTTCAGCAGTCATTTCTGTCTGAGTGGCCAGGCTGTCGAGTGGAGAGTCTCCAGAGGGCAAGGGGAAGCTGGGCAGTGGGTCCTTCAAAGATACGGCAAACATAAGTGCAAATTCTGACATCGTATTGTTTTGCAGGAGAGACAGCCCCACTGCATTGTTACTTCTGAAGCACCAGAGGCCTGCGGGACCTGTCTGCCTGTGTCTTTCTGCATACGGCCATGCGTTATGTGCTCCAGACGTGGGACAAGGAGGAGGGACTGCAGCCAAGTCTTGGTTTCTCAGACAGGTAAGTCAAAGAAGAAGTGGGGAAGAGGCGCAAACAAGCTGGTAAGTCCCTTTCCTGTGAAAAGCTGTGGAGCTGGAGCCAGCTGCTGCCTTCTTGTGGCATCTGTTCTGGTGCCCGCCGCTGACTGCATTCATGCTCAGTGCCCCTCAGAAGGGGGTGTGAGGGTTCCTCAAGTCAGCAGCCAGAGGTGATTCGGTTGTACAGCCACAGCCGATACCTGCGTGGTGCCTCCCTCAACGCTGTTACATAGCCGGAGCTGCACACCGCTGTCCCAGCCCGTGGGAGGAAGCTTGGCTGCGTTAGTGGATGAGGGGACATAAAAAGTGTGCAGGAGGTCCCAAGGCAACCTCAAACCAGTTTTGTCTTTTGGGAGATGAACCCAGGGAGAGAGGCAGAGAGCACTGGGAAGGGAGGTTGGCAGTGTCCAAGCTGCATACAAGGAGGGGGAGCACTGTAATGCCTGGTGAGAAATTAGGGTGATGTTTTGGGTTGAGCTAGAGGTGCCTGGTTGCTCCTAGATGGTCTGTTCCCCCAGGCCTGGGAACCAGCAAGTCCCTGCCTCTAGTCAGCCTTTCTTGAACAGGGTGTCGTCACTGGCACAAAGCAGTGGGGACGCTCGTGAAGTGAGGACTCCCCTGCAGGAGCATTTTGCAGGGCAGGACTGGAGCGCTCGGGCCTGTCCTGCTGTTCGGACCATGCTGGGGACTGGTTTGTCAGTCATGGGTGGAAATGGGCTGCTGTCCCTGGAATTCGTTGTCAAGGAGCTCCAGTGAAGGGAAAACCAGGTTCAACAGTCCCATGCTGTGTCTTGCACTGAATGGAGCCGTTCGTGGCTCTGTTGGCTGAATCACTGCCCTGCGTGACACGCCGGTTTGCAGTCCTAGTGCTCCCCGCCCTTAGAAACAGCCTGGCAGAAGTTAATGTAAAAAAGAGCAAAATAGCTATTCAGAAACAGCTTGGAAACGTTGTGTAGAGCCCCTGGGTGGCTGTGCTTGGTGCCGTGCTTTTATGCGGAGCCTTTTAAGGGTTGCTCTGGAGGCAGTTCCAGGACACGGCTTTCTTCATCATCCCTTAGTCCCTGGTGGCTGATCCATGTGCTGCTGAACGCGAACAGAGAGGGAAAAAATGCCGGCAGGACTGCAGAGGATGCAAAACACAGTGACTGTTGCATGAGCTGTCCATGCCGCGCCACGCAGGACATGCAGCCTGGACGGGGGTGGCTCTGGTCAGGGCGTGGAGCCCGGGCTGTTTGCAAAATCAAGTGGAATTAGTTAGGAAAGCTGAACAGGGCTGGGGGGAGCAGCTGGCAAAGTGCAGAGCCTGGGAAAAGAGGAGTCGGAAACTTTCCTGCTAGGTCGTCACTTGTTGTCCCGAAGCAAAAGTTTGTGAATAAAAAAGCAGTCTAGCTGCTTTCCCAAAACGTGGCAGCCCCTTTGCCCTGCCCCGGGGATGAGCCGCTCTCCTTCCTTCCTCCTCCTTCCTTCTACCCCTCCCCACACCGGTCTCCCGAGACATTTTCAGTCCAGCTGCAAATACCTTGGTTGCACCCAAACTTCAAGATCTGAAGACCAGGAAAAAAGTAGGGTTGAGTAAAACAAACAAACGCTACACAACACCTCCCCACACACACAGTTATCTCAGGGAGTTGCTGCTCAGGCTCAACAGCTGCAGAAGTGAGGACTTCCTGAAATGGATGTGCACAGCAGGTACCTACAGGTTGTCTGACCTGGCTTGCACTGTGGTTGCAAATACCCCCTCCCTACGCCAATTTTTCTCTCTCTCCAGATTTGAGAGATACAGATGCTGTTTGCCACGATGGTGAACTCTGACAACTGGTTTCTGAACCTTATCTTGACCTCAGGATAAGCAGCTCCTGACTCCATGCATTCATTTCTGACTCTGTAATGCTCAAATATAGAGCAGCCCTGGGGCTGTGATGAGTCATTCGCTCCTAATGACACTATCAGACTGTTGGCAGCGTGCTCCTGTCAAACGGGAGGTAGAACTGACTACCCGGGGCAGACACCCGTCCCGCAGCAGTGCAGCTGGACCTGTGTGCCCATGACCCCCCACGCTAATGGTAGTGAACCCCATCCCGGATGGAGCTGGAAAAAACTCTTGGCTTCGCGTTATCAGCCACGCCAAAGCAAACGCTGACCCTTGCATCCTGGACTCGGCTCCTGGGAGGGAAGCGCAGCGGCCGGTCCAGCTCCTTTTCTGCATTTCTTTTTCAGAGCACTCTGTCATAGGCAGAGACGCGTGGTCACGCGCTTTGCCAGGATCCTCCTTTGTATTCTGCTGCGGACAGGGGGGAGGACAGAGGATTGAGGGACTGAGCTCTTTTTCTATCAGTTTTGGCCAGCTCAATGAATTGCTGGTTGATGTTTAAGCACGGCCTAAGCTGGGGGAATAGGCAGCTTGTGGTTAAGGTTAGTGGGTAATCTGTGGTTGGTTCAAAGCCTGGTTTGGGACCCAGATGAGTCACTCATTATCGGAACAAGAAATGTAGCTTGATGATGAAATTGCCCCAGTGCCTCACAGAGTCAGGTCAGAGTCCGGCAGCTGGAGGAGGAGGATGGGTGGGTGGTTAAAGACGCTCTCCCTCAGGGGGGCTGCGCTCAAGTTCACGGTCTGGTCCAGTCTCTCCAGGAGTCCCTGGACGGATCGCTTCAGCCTTGTGCTGCCTTCCCCCAGCTGTAGGTGCTGGTACTGTCAAGACGCTTTCCTTCTCTTCGCCTCGTCCTGCCCTGCGGCGATTTGCAGGCCTTGTCCCTGTCCCTGTCCCTACCCTGCCTTGTGTAGCTGCAGCTGCTGCAGTTCTGACCCAGGCGGGGTTCCTCCCATGGTCACGATCCCCATGGTCTTGCTCTAGGAGCAGCTGTGCTGGAAGAGCCTCGGATGCTCAGACAGGATGGTGGGAAGCCACAGTGCGTAAGCACTGGTCAGGAGTAGCACGGGGCTGAACCACAATCCTTCCCTTCCTCCCTGGGAGGGGGCAAAGACCACCTTGGCCTGCCCCGAATCCTGGGCAGGTGCCTCAGGCCACATGCAGAAGGACGGGCAGCCCCTCTCTTGTCTCAGAAAGGAAGGCTGTGCGCTGCATCTCGCCCCATGAGGCCCCTGCGCTAAAGCCCCTGCGCCGCTGGCTTGGCGATAGCAGCTTGGTGGCCAGGCTGACGGCACGAGCCTCGCACCCACTCGCAAAGGGGCAGCGCCGCTTCAGCTGTTAGCAGGCAAGGAAACAGTGACCCCAGGCCAAGTGGCTGGCAGGCAGCCCACAAACACCCCAAACAGCTCGGAGGGTTGGAGTGAGCCTTGTCATCTGACAGGACAGAGCCATCCGCCTGCTCCCGTTCTCCTGGCGTTGGCCCACCGTGCTGAGAGGGGCACGGCAGCGGTTTAGCAGCATGCACGGAGTAGCTGGGGATGGAATCAATTCATGTTTCCAAAATAAAAAAAACGCTGGTA